GCTCCCCCCCCCCCCCCCCCCCCCCGAGCCCAATACACATGAATCCCGTCTCCCCGGACCAAATACCCGCCCTCCCTCCCAGAGCTCAGCTGCAGGGCCCTCCCTTGCCCAGTTAGCTGTACCCCTCCCCCCTCGAACCCAGCTGTGCCCCCCCAGCCCAGATACCTGCCCCCCTCTCCCCCAGAGCCCAGGGATCCAGAGGGAGAAACAGCCTGATGCTTGGTCCCAGTCTTGTGGAGTTTCCTGCGCCCTGCCCTCTCCTTCCCTCAGGGCGTACTGGGAATTGTAGCTGCCAGGAGCTCTCTAACTCCCTCCCCCCCCCCCCAGCAGTGTCTTCTATGTGTGTGCTAGGCTCTGCCAGGTCCAGTAGCCCCTAGTGGCAGCCAACAGCACTGCAGCCCATTTCGGGGGGGGGGGGGGGAAGGAAATTCTGCATGCACAATGTTAATGTCCGCAAAATTCTGCATTGCGCAGTGGCACAGAATTCCCCCAGGAGTAAAATTAGCTGTTACCACTAAGAAAGCTTGGACTCAGCATTGATAGGTTCCTGAAACCATCTGCACAATGTGCAGCAGCAGTCAAAAAAAGCTAATAATGTTAGGAACCATGAGGAAAGGGATAATATCATAACGCCACTATATACATTCACGGTACACCCACATCTTGAATACTCGGTGCAGTTCTGGTTACCCCATCTCAAAAAAGATATATTAGAATTGGAAAAGTGCAACAACGATTAGGGGCATGGAGCAACTTCCATATGAAGAGAGATTCAAAAGATTGGGACTGTTCATTTTAGAAAAGAGACGACTAAGGGGGGGCTATGATAGAGGTCTAAAAATCTCCACTGGTGTAGAGAAAGTGAATAAGGAAGTGTTATTTATTCCTTTACATAACACAAGACCTAGGGGTCACCCAATGAAATTAATAGGCAGCAGGTTTAAAACAAACATAAGGAAGTACTTCTTCACACACTGCACAGTCAACCCGGGGAACTTGTTGCCAGGGGATGTTGTGAAGGCCAAAAGTGTAACTGGGTTCAAAAAAGAATTAGGTAAGTTCATGGAGGACAGGTCCATCAATAGCTATTAGCCAAGATGGTCAGGGCACAACCCCATGCTCCTGGTGTCCCTAAACCTCCAACTGCCAGAAGTTGAGACTAGGTGACAGGGGACGGATCACTCAAAATGGCCCTGATCTGTTCGTTCCCTCTGAAGCATCTGGCACTGGCCACTGTCAGAGACAGGATACTGGGCTAGACAGCCAATCTGTCAGACCCATTATCACCATTCTTATGTTCTTATGTAATTTGAATGAATCATCCGGGAGGGGGGTTGTTTCAAGCTGTTAATTACATCTGATTCACCATCAAAAGTTGGTCCATGAACAGCTACCCCTTCTGTCAAATATACACACAGTTTTTTATTCCATCTAAACAAGTGTTTTAAAAAAACAAAACAAAAAATCTAGGCACAGATTTTGTCTTCATGTCTGAAGTAATTTGTGAATATGGATTAATTGCATTTTACTAAAAGACACTGAAAAAATAAGATTAGAATCCCTACCATGGAATGGTCCCTTTGTTATGTTTTATGTCAACATAGCTAAATACGTTTTCACTGAAAAACTCAGAGAAAAATATTGCATGTAAAAAAAGATTTGGAGCCTGATTCTGTTTTACAGTAAAGCTCTTTAATATACCATTTTGCCAATGCGGAGCCCCTCTAATGGGTTTAAGCCCAGTTTAAGGGATAAAAAGAGGTCTTATGAGACTCAGGCCCGTTATATTTAAACCTTTCTTGGTATATTGGAAAACTGGTATCTTACATAGTAAAAAAAGTGACTGTAGTCTAGGGCCCAATTTTCAACTACACTCCATTAATGCACCTAAAAAATTTACAGAAGTGCCTGTTTGCATGTGCAAAACCACATATATTTGTGTGTGTATGCGTATGTGTAAAGTGTTTAATTAGACACAAAGCCACCTACTTTGCACACTCAGATGCAACATTCTGAGGGCATCCCAGTTACTTACACATATGAAAATTTAGTCCTTAAAGCCACTTCTGAGGTTTAGTCTCCAGATTGTCATCAATGTATGTACTTGTTGTTACCTTTAGGATTTTTATGGGGTGTCGGCAGTTCTGCCTACCAGACTGAAGGAGCCTGGGACAAGGATGGGAAAGGACCAAGTATCTGGGATGCTTTTACTCACAAAAAAGGGAAAGTGTTTATGAATGAAACAGCAGATTCATCATGTGAAGGCTACTACAAAGTTAAGGTATGATTAAAACAGGAAATATCCCTAATATAGAAAAAAATACTGAACTGTTAGTTACATTGAACTGAAAATATGACAGATACTTTAATCTGCTGCTCTTGAAGTCTGCAACTAGATTCTTACACCGAGCTGTTAAGCTACAGCAGTAAGTGTCCAGTCTTCAAGGTGCTAAGGGTAGTTTTTTAGAATTGTTGTCCCAGTGAAAAGAAAAATACACAGCAAGAGAGATTCCAAATGGTTGTTCTATACAGAGCCAGCATTGCAGGAATCGGAATTCTAGTGAAACTGTTATTACTCCATTACTTAGTGGGGCTGACTAAACTTGAAAGTCTAGGAGCAAGTGGAGGGTTCGGATGTAAGATAAAATCATAAATAAAACCTTATTGACTCACAATGGGAAAATTCAGAAGAGATTTTGAGATCTCGATTTTCCTCATTCAATAGAGGTTTGCAGGATCAGGTCCACTGTTTCTAAGGGAAAAAATTAAATATTTGTTACAAGAAATGAGATTAAAAATTGACACTTAGTCATTTCTGTTGTTTGTTGACTTTTTTCCATGTCATCTCATAGAGTGATAGACTTTAAGGTCAGAAGGGACCATCATGATCATCTAGTCTACCCTCCAGCACATTCCAGGCCACTAAGCTGTTGGCCACATTCCAGGCCACACAGAACCTCACCCACTCCTGAAATAAACCCCTAACCTCTGGCTGACTTATTGAAGTCCTCAAATCATGGTTTAAAGACTTCAAGTTACAGAGAGCTCACCATTTTTACACTAGTTTAAACCTGCAAGCGACCCGTGCCCCCATGCTGCGGAGGAAGGCGAAAAACCCTTAGGGTCTCTGCCAATCTAACCTGGGGGAAAATTCCTTCCCAACCCCAAATATGGCGATCAGTTAGAAGCTGAACTTGTGGGCAAGACCCACCAAGCAGATACCTGGGGGAAAATTTTCTGTAATAACTCAGAGCCCTCCCAATCTAGTGTCTAAAATCTCCAGCACTTGGGGTTTTTTGCTACTGGCAGTCACCAATGGGCCAAATGCCATTGTAGGCAATCTCATCATACCATCCCCTCCATAAATGTATTAATCTGTCTTGAAGCCAGTTCGGTTTTTTGCCCCCACTGCTCCCCTTGGAAAGCTGTTCCAGAACTTGACTCCTCTGATGGTTAGAAACCTTTGCTTAATTTTGAGCCTAAACTTATTGATGGCCAGTTTACAGCCATTTGTTCTTGTGTCCACATTGGGGCTTAACTTAAATAACACCTCTCCCTCCCTTGTATTTATCCCTCTGATGTATTTATAGAGAGCAATCATATCTCCCCTCAGCCTTCTTTTGGTTAGGCTAAACAAGCCAAGCTCTTTGAGTCTGCTTTCATAAACTACTTGGGAAATGAAAACGGTCTCTAGTCAGTTTCACAGTCTGGTTTTCATAGGCCAGCACAAAACTGCAAAAGCCCAGCTCAGAAACTGCAGAGGAATGTTTAAGTCCAAACAAAAGCCTTTTTTCACTGGAATTTAAGATGAACTGACAAACTGTTAAAATGTTGTTTGTGGCCTATGGGTCAGGTCATGCTTGCCCTTCTCCAGTAAATCCCACTCTAGGGGAGGATATCTTCTGCTCCTAGAATTCCCCTTTATTGCAGGGGTACAGGTTATGCACTGGTCTCCCTTCCCCTACAACAGGGGTCGGCAACCTTTCAGAAGTGGTGTGCCGAGTCTTCATTTATTCATTCTGATTTAAGGTTTCGCGTGCCAGTCATACATTTTAACGTTTTTAGAAGGTCTCTTTCTATAAGTCTATAATATATAACTAAACTATTGTTGTATGTAATGTAAATAAGGTTTTTAAAATGTTTAAGAAGCTTCATTTAAAATTATATTAAAATGCAGAACCCCCCAGACCAGTGGCCAGGACCTGGGCAGTGTGAGTGCCACTGAAAATCGGCTCGCATGCCCTAGATTGCCTACCCCTGCCCTACAACCAGAAAAGACTGCCACAAAAACTTGTGGATCTAGGACGTCACCGGTCCTTTCCAGCTCTCAGGCAGCACAGTACCACGGCTCTGGCTGCCTCCAGAACCCTTGGGGATGGTCTCTCCAGACTGCATTATCATTTCTGCCGTGACAGATTATGCTTGATGTGTCCGCCACTGGCTTGCCCTGAATTCAGATCCTCCTCCTCCTTAGATCATGGGAACAGTACTACAGAAGGAGTTTAGCCCTGTTCTGTGTGAGAGATGAAAATCCAAGTGTGGATCTGAAGGTGAGGGAAGGGGGCACACAATCTAGGCCTAAAGCAGCAACAGAATATTTACTTAAAACTGTCAGCAACATACATCTGAAATACAGCTCAGCCTTCGCTTACCTACGAACACCAGAGTCAGGAACCTGTTGTCCCTTCAACAGCAAAGAACATCCTTAACACCTAGAGGACTGTGAAAAGTACAAGTCTCTGCACAGTTTAAAATGAAATTATATTGGGGCCTTCTAGACACTGTCAGCAAAAAGAGAAAAACAAAAGAAGATAACTCTGCCTCTGGGAGTCTTGAAGCTGTTTACTGGGTGAGGAACTCATGTAAATTAGCTGGCCAATTTCCCAACTCAGTCTACTCCTCAGATACCAGGGATGAGAGCAATATAAACATCCAGATAGACCTCTTTCCTCACAACCCCACATAGCTCTTGGGATATTTCCAAACTAGGACTGGATTAACTCCTGTGTCATAAAGGAGAAGGAACTGGTTTATCTCTATATTTTAGTCAATTATATAGTCCCAGTTACCATAGTCTCTGAGCCTCTCACAATCTTTAATATATTAATTTTCACCTTGTTAGTTAGGGTAGTGCACAGAGAGAGCGCAAGGGCCAGATTTTTAAAGGTATTTAGGCACCAAGTGGGATTTTCAAAACCATCACAAGTTTTAGGGGCCTAGGATGTCTGTACCCGGGTCTCCGGAGCGCCAAGCTCATGCTCTAACCATTGAACCATGGTTTCACTCTCTTGCTAAGTCGAAATATTGCATCTAAAACCCCTCCCTAAAATTATACTATTGTAATATTTACACTAAGTAATATAACAACTCCCATTTATAACTGTATGGAAAATGACAATACCCTAAATGCTATTTTATACTATTCAACAATTCCTCTAACATTTGAGCTTCCACGCCCGTCTTTGTATGTAATGCACATTATATTATGTAATGCCCTAGTATTCAGTCCTGATTTTTAAAGAACCTAACAAAAAAAAAATCTCAGTTCTGCCTCCAAATTCATGCCTAAAAAAGAAGTTGCAGGCCCATTTATATCGTTGAGAGATATGCCCAGGTAGCATATCTGAGCATATGCATGGTTAGAAGAATCAGAGTCCAATAGGTTGCTGGTTTTCATTGTGGAGCTGGTTCCACTTTGAGACAGCATAGAAATGTTGGTGTGTCTGCTCTGAACTTGGCTGCATGGTGTCTTTACACAGCTGCCCTGCAGCTAGTAACTTACTTTTCTTAGTAAGGAAAACCAAAATGCTAGAAAATAACTCAAGTTAAAAATCTAGTGAACAGGATTTTGGAAAGTAGTAATTTAATTATTTGTGGTCAGGCTATACTAGAGTCTAACCTGGAAACAAAGTTCAGTCAGTCTCTACAATCTTATATTTGAAATCTTTATATTATATTCCTATACCAGCGGGCAGGAAAACAGGTATGTTGAACCACTATGGTATTTTTCTACTGTTGGAACTAGAACACTATATGCAAGTTTCCCAACCGTTCTTGCATCATGTAAATAAAATGGCAGATTTGAATTGAAGAGTTTACTGGTATTACAGAGAGACCGAAAAGTTCTGTCTAGCAGATCCAAGTGTCAAGTGTTAGGGTTTCAGAATATGACAATGCCAGAAAATTTAGATAAATTCCAAATTAACAGAACTTTGTACACAAAACTGGGAGTCTAGCAGCATGGGTGATTTATTTGCAGATGACCCTGTATAAAATCCTTATATTCAAGAGTTCCAGCATGAATTTGTTCTAGCAAAGAGTTAATATGTTTGGGGCCAAATTCTTCAGTCTAATTTTGCAGACATACACCAGGCTGTATCCATAAATAGGTGCCCTCATATTCCATATGTGCACATGCAAATCAAGCAGTTGGATACCCAACTATCTCACTGCATGTACAAATAGCTACTTGTACATGAAAAAAATGTAGGAACAGTAAGTTATGTATGCAAAAGGAGAGGACAGGGGTAGAGGCCCAGGGCTGAACACTGACTCCTTCTTAGCAATTACACAAACATGGAAATTAACACCCCCAGACATCCCCCACCTTAGCCTGCAGCTAGATCGCATGGACATAGTTTCTGACCTGGGCAGAGGTATGTGAACCAAGCTTGGTTGCTCTTATCCACAACCCTCCCTATTTTATGTATTTAGTTTGAAAGAGACGGTCAGTTAAAAATATTTTAAGATGATGCTAGGCACACTTTGTAAGAAAACTTGTTCCTTCACAACACATTTTCTTTCCACGCTTGCTTCCACAGTGAAGTCAATGAATTCTGAATTTAACATTACATTCACAACTTCCATGGCAAGTAGACTGAGGTAAAATACACAGGCTTAGGACTTCTTTGTACTTGAATAAACTCATGCCCCACCAGCTTCTGCAAATCATTTTTTCAAAGGAAACAGAAAATAACTGGCGAAGCACATTGTTTTTGTGCAATCCTCTCTTCTTTCACATTTCCTCAACTCAAAGTCTTTCGTTAAAATTGCTTTAATTTGTAGATTAATAATCTGAAAGATTAGTCTATTGGGATTAGTGAGTAATATTTTAATTGGATTTTCTTTTTGCAGGATGATATTCAGTTACTGAAGGAGTTGAAAGTTAATCATTACCTGCTTTCTATTTCATGGCCTCGTATTATGCCCACTGGTATTAAAAGTAAGCATAACCATTTAACTGTAAACCTAAAAGCACATATAGGCAAAACAACTTTGCTACATTTGAGAATACCATAAAAAATGACATGGTATATTTGTCACATATTACTGGTAAATATATATCTATTTCTCTATCAGGGTCCTTACAATGTCAGCCCTTTCCATGGTATACAGGTGCCTATACATACACCAATGTAATCTATCTAGATATATATAGCTTACATCATTTTAGAAAACATTTTCCAATGATTACTATCTAAATGATGTAAAAACAATTAATTTTCTTCAACATTTGTTTCCCCAGAAGAACAGGTGAATGAAAAGGGGATAAAGTTCTATAATGATACAATTAATAGTCTTTTGGAGAACAAGATTATCCCTATTGTGACCCTCTACCACTGGGATCTTCCACAGGTCTGAGAATAATTAAATTTATTATGTTGTCTAATCTAGGGTTTCTGGTAGCTAACTTGTTTGTAAAAATAAACACCATCTGGATCATTTTAAGAAAACATTTTAAATATTCCAGCATGCTTTCAAGTTATCAATAATTTCTCTGAGCTATCATTTTATATACTTAAGCACTGTTACATTCCCACTGTGAGTCACTGAATTCTGCCTCATTCAAACTGCTTATTCAGTTTCACTAAATCACCTTAAGTCACATCATAGCTTAGCTAGTGTCTATATTGAGTTACATACAATATAACCTTTATCAAAAAACAATGGCATATTGAATTTTAAGTTACATATCTGTTAATTCTTGTAATTATTACATATACAGGTGCTCCAAGAAAAGTATGGTGGGTGGCAGAATATAAGCATGATAAGTTATTTTAATGATTATGCAAATCTGTGTTTTGAGAAGTTTGGCGATCGTGTGAAATACTGGATTACTTTTAATAACCCTTGGGTAAGTTACTGATGGCTTTCTTTTGGGCTACATAGATTTGGTCCCCAAATTTTGGGAGTGACCCTATAGTTACTTTTTTTTCCTCTTCTCATGTACTTGTAGGCGGTTGCTGAAGAGGGCTATGAGACAGGAGAGCATGCACCAGGACTGAAGCTCAGTGGAATAGGGGCATACAAAGCAGCACATCATATCATTAAAGTAAAACTAGAAATATGTTCTTTCTTGTATTGCTATCTTATTTTATGACTGAGATAAGTGGGTCTTAATTTTTTTTCCCCAGGAAAAGAAGGTTTTGTAGCAAAGATTCAACTTCTGAACAGCATACAAAAAGCATTCAAGAGTTAATTTAAATGGAATTATAAACTACTGGTGCTGAGACAGTGCATACTTAATTAGTATTGGATGCATGACATAGCACTCAGCTGCAACAATTCAGAGGACAGGTTTTTTAAAAAAACCTCTATTTAAGTGTCTCATTGAACATACTGCCAAATAGATCAGAAGAGAGAATTTTAAGGTAGCTTCTATAAACAAAGGGTGAAATCCTGCCTCACTAGTCTCAATGGAAGTTTTGTGATTGACTTAAACAAGGCCAGGATTTCACCCAAAGTGAACAACCTTCATTTAAAGAAAAAGTTTCTCATTTAAATATAGACACACAGTAGAACAGATCTGCAGTAAAACAGAACTCTCCATTAAATGTTGCATGTCACCTTCACGAGGCCATCTTGGGAGCTGCAAAGGACTCTCACATAGGTCTGGTTGACATCTTATGTAAAACAAAAGCTTCCATGAGAAACAGAATTTTTTTTTTTTAAAACCTACGGTAACAATTTCCAGATGTGCATTTGTGCAACAAGTTTATCTTCCATGCTTCTATCACAGCTCAGGACAACTGTACCCTCCATTGTCCATCCACTCTCAGACTCCCAGCTCCCATGTCACCACCTTTCTTGGGTGGAGACATGCATCTCTCTTCCACCAGACTGGGGTGTATCCAGGCTGCACAGGTTCCCTACCTACATTGTGAATTCCCCAGCAGAATACATGACCTCAGCAGTGCTTTGCCTTCTCTGAATCCTGAGGCTATAAATAGCATTCTACCAGTATAAGTTACCACACAGCTCTTTCTAAGCAAGTACATTTATCCTTAAGGTAAAAGCATTACAGAGAAAAAATATTAAACAAATAAAAACCTACACACTAGCTAATAAGGTTACCAAAGATCACCTCAACTCCAAGAGGGGCTCTGGCCAGTGAACAGTCCTTCAAACCCCACCAAGGTTTTTGTTTTTTTTCCTGTTCATAACTGCCTTGGCTCAGAACAACCACCCCCATGAATCTCAGAATCACTCTTTTATCCAGTCTGGGCCTCTGAACTTGTCCTCACGTAACAGTGATCAGCAGACAATGGGTTTCTGCTCAGGGGACAACTTCGAAAGGTTGGGTCGGGAAGTGAAAAGTTGCCTTTCCCTCCTTCCAAGTATTTCCTAGGAATCCCAATGAGCTTTGTTTGTCTAGCACAGTGATTCTCAAACTTTTGTACTGGTGACCCCTTTCACATAGCAAGACGCTGAGTGCGACCCCCCTAAAAAATTAAATATATTAAAAAGTGTTTTTAACACCATTATAAATGCTGGATGCAAAGCGGGGTCTGAGGTGGGGGCTGACAGTTCGCAACCCCCCATGTAATAACCTCACGACCCCCTGCGGGGTCCCAACCCCCAGTTTGAGAACCCCTGTCTAGCACATTGTTTCAAAGAGACATTTGAAATTCATAACACTTCCCAGGGTTCACATTAGCCATGTCTCCTCTCTAGAGACATTACATACAATCCCACAATAATACATACATATTTGCATTTTTAATATAATGAACTCTAAAGGTACTGAAATTTAAATTAATAAGGTTTAGCTTAATTCAACAATGTTTGTAAAGGATATTGCCGTATCTGTCAGAGATTCATTGACTCTTCCTGTACTGATTATTGCACGATAGGTTAGCATATACATATGTTCTTTTAATTACAGACTCATGCAAAGGTCTGGCATTCTTATAATAAGACATGGCGTAACAAGCAACAAGGTAATAAGTATTCATTGTGTAATTATGCCTCTGCAGTAAGGGCTTAAAAGATTATGCATAACTGCAGAACTGTCACTTTCTATTTTAAGGTATGGTTGGAATTTCTTTAACTAGTGCCTGGGGTGAACCTGTTGATCTAACTAGCCAGAAGGACATTGAAGCTGCTGAAAGATACGTACAGTTTTACTTGGGATGGTTTGCAAATCCTATTTACAGTGGAGACTATCCTGAAGTTATGAAGAATTATGTAGGTAAGTCATGCTGACTATTTACACCTTGAATAAATAATATAGTTACAACAGTGACAATTAACAGATGTATTGGAGCATGCATGCATCCGACGAAGTGGGCATTCACCCACGAAAGCTTATGCTCCAATACATCTGTTAGTCTTAAAGGTGCCACAGGACTCTCTGTTGCTTTTTACAGATCCAGACTAACACGGCTACCCCTCTACCCCCCTGATACTTAACAGTGACAATCTGATCAATGTGTATTTTAGTCCAAATTAAGGATAGGGTTTTGGAGGAGGGTTATTAATAAAAATCATTTTTCTGAAAGATTCCAGATAAAAACAAAAATATTATTTTTGTTAATTAAAAACCAAACAGTAGTATGCTCCTCTAAAAAGTATAATTATCCACATTTTTACAGATGGGGAAACAGAAGAAAGAAGTTAAGTTATGTGCCCAAGAACACATGGCAAGTTAGCGGCGAACACCTGACTCCTAGTGATGTGCTTTAAGACTGGGATTTTCAAAGGAGACTATGGGAGTTGGACACTTAAATTCCTGTTGCACCTCTGAAAATCCCAATCTAAACCACATTTCTTCAGTCTTAGCCACATCAAGTAAAGTTTATCCTTTACTATCCTTTCTTTAAAGGTAGAAAGAGGAAGATTGTTGTGTTCAGAGAGAAAGTGCTCATTCAAGGCTACACAATATTAGCACTTAAAATTTAGGATAGTTTAGTTTTGCTTTTGTGGTGTAAAGAAAAGCAGACACATTCAATCATGTGCGGAAGATGCATTTACTATCTTTTTTTTGAAAAATTTTGATTTAATAGGTAGAAAGAGTGCTCAACAAGGCCTGGGCATGTCAAGATTACCAACCTTCTCAGTGCAAGAGAAAAGCTACATTAAGGGTACATCTGATTTCCTGGGATTAAGTCATTTTACCACTCGTTACATTATACAGAAAAATTATTCCGCCCTCAAAGGGCCCAGTTACCACACTGATCGTGATTTGGTAGAACTGGTTGATCCAAAGTGGCCAGATCCAGGATCTAAATGGCTATATTCTGTGCCCTGGGGATTTAGAAGGTTACTCAACTTCATTAAGGTAATTTTAAACTAAGTCTTCTTTAAAGGAAGTTAACTAACAGTCTTGATTAATACAGGGTATGAATCTGTATCTCAGTGTCAAGCATAAATATCCAACACATCCACCAGTATTCTTATCTGCATATTGAAGGCTTGTTTATTGCCACATACCTAGCACAATGGGGCCTCAATCTCAGTTGGGGTCTCTTTGCGCTATATTCATAGAAATAGTTTATAATAAACTTCAGCTAACCCAAAGAAAAAGTTAAATTTTTAACTATGCTTTTCTTTTAAATGTAACCATAGTAGAAAAAAATATATAGTAAATAGATTGAAACCAGTTTTCCAGAAATTTAATTTTGTTAAAAAAAATTAATTGTAGTTGTATGAAGTATAATATTATTTCATTATTCCAAAATGAATGTTTTTCTTTGTAGACACAGTATGGGAATCCTCTCATTTACGTAACAGAGAATGGAGTTTCAGAAAAGCTGCAGTGTATTCAGTTATGTGATGAATGGAGAATTGAATATCTGAAAGGGTATATTAATGAGATGCTAAAAGGTGAACTTTAAAAACAAATTTTGGAACACATTTTATTGTGACTTTGTCCATTTTTTAAGCATTCTGATATTCTAACTCTTAAATTCTGACCTATACTGGGTTCAACATTGGAATAATTTATCAATTTCCATATTTACAAAATAAAAAAACTGCACCTAATAATATACCATAATTACTCTTATGAAATCTTCCAGTGCATCTAGACTAAGGATAACAGTTTCAAAAGTGTCTTAAGTGACTTAGGAGCCTAAGTCTCATTGACTTTCAATAAGAGTCAGGTACCTAAGTGACTTTCATGCTTTTGAAAATTTTACCCCAAATTTTTCCTTCATTTTTGGTATAAAATAGGGCTTGCTTAGCACTATGTTTCTAGTGAAGACAAACTTGATCTGGTTGTTAACAAATTTGAAATCTATTTTCAGCCATAAACGATGGCGTTAATGTAAAGGGTTACACTGTCTGGTCTCTGCTGGATAAATTTGAATGGAATAAAGGTTATTCTGAAAGATTTGGATTATACCATGTTGACTTTAAAAAGGGGAATAAACCCCGATACCCAAAGGCATCTGTCCACTATTACAAGATGATCATCTGTGCAAATGGATTCCCAAATCCAAGAGAGGTGAGTTCTATCATTAAACCTGCTTATTCCTAATTTAGGACCAAATTCTGCTTTGTTTGAGATAAAAAAAATAACTCGCATGAGTAAGGTATGTGGGATTTGACCTTAGATTACTATAGTATACCTACTCATTTAATTTAGGATTGTGTCAACTTGTGGGAGGGGGATAGGGTGACCAAACAGCAAGTGTGAAAAATCAGGACGGAGGTGGGGGTAATAGGAGCCTACATATGAAAAAGACCCAAAAATCAGGACTGTCCCTATAAAATCGGGACATCTGGTCACCCGAGAGGGGGATGAGAGGGGAAAGAGAATGATGAAATCTAATCTTACTATTATTGTTCTTTTATAACACTTTCAATGTTTTTGAACACATCAGTAAATTAACTACTTAAATAAAACTTTGTAATCACAATACCCACATTATTAATTTACTGTGTTTAGAGACATTGCCTTTTGTGCTTTCCAGACATTGCATGTGCATGATATCTAAAACAAGAAAAACCCTGAGAAATAATATTGAGTGGGTTTTCCAGTTTATTTTGTATAGTCCCAAGCAATTAACATGAAAATGTATTAAAATAATATTCATCATAATATGTACAAAGTAACATAAAAAGGTCATACAATCGACATGTAGTGTGAGAATAAGAGTACTGGAAAGAGTTGTAAATGACTAAAGTTCAGAGGCATTGAAAATGGTGCTAATAAGACTGAATATATTCATAGTTTGGTGAAACCATTAGTATCACATCAAATAATAAATAATATTGATTTTGTTAGGTGAAAAGTTGGCACCAAAAGGCCATAGAGACGTGTTCTATCACAAACCAACTCCTCGCTGCAGGTAATTACATTTATTCTGTATTACTCATCCAGTAAATATATATTATATGGGTTTAAAGGGAAAACACTTCTGTGACTGAACATTAAAACTGGGTTCATGAAATATTTTCTCCTTGAAAAGAGAAAGCCAAATCTTTTTTAAAATTATGACAAACTTCAGAATCAAACAGTACCTCTTAATTTACTACCAGTAATTCAAAATAGTGCAGCTAACAGGATTGTATTACAGTTTATTAATATTTCTGAATTTTCTTTTCTTAAGAATTATAGTAAAAACACTGAGGAGTCACAGCTGTTAAAAACTTACTTCTGCAGATATTAGTATTTCTCAGTGATTGTTTGCATAAAAGCAAAAACAAAAACAAAAACCAAACCCAGGGCAATCATGCAACAGGGGAAAGAAAGAAAAAAAAAAAAAAAAAAGCAAATGTGTAGCCTCTGAATGATGAGCATAAAAACTAGGGGTGAGAACTCGCAGCCCAGTGGGAGGGAGAGCTAAGGTGACTTTAAACCACCTTTGTGCTTTGTTGCTCTGGGGACTGGAGAAGCTCCTGGCATAAATTAGACAGGCTCTCAGAAACTAAATTAAGGCAGCTTCCCCAGACTGCCCTACAAACCACAGCACTGCCTGGAATATCCACAGTGCTGTGGCCTGCCTCCAACACCTCCCTTCTGCCTCCAGCTCCATCTCCCATGCTGGGGTTTGTGAAGGGGTCATCAGTTCCTGAACTGGGGGGAAAACTCTACTTGAGTGGACTCCTGAAACCATTAAGGAAGATGGGATGAATATGGTACATGTGTGTGGCCCATGCTGTAGGATTAAGATATGAGGGGTCCATCCCTATGAATTAACATATCACTATAGCTTAAGTGTGTTTCTCATTCAACTCTTTGAGGGCTACTAATATATATGTGCGCATCAAAACAATTTGTACTACAATCACCAAATAAAAGTTTAAAGAAGCAATTTAATTTTAATTCCACAGAGATACAATGCAGTCCTCAAAGGGTTAGAGTGCTTTCCAAAGATTTTTGACTATTTTCTTTTTTCCCCTTTCCTTGAAAATTAGAGGAACAGCGGAATACTGCTGCTAATATACTGAGACTAATTCATGGTAAGCACAATTTTTTGTAACCCTTTGAGCACTGACATGTTTCAGAATTTACCACAAAAGATATAGATGAAGAGAGCTTAACATAAACTTGCTGCAGATTTTCAAAATATATAAAACATGTTTATTCTATCTTTTACAATTTCTTTCTCTCTGTTGTTTCTAGTGACGCCAGTTTAATGCAGAAGCCAATATGTAAAAAAATTAATTTTAGCTTTAAACAAATTATGTTCAAAAAGATTCAAAGCTTAAAAAATAGAATGAACAAATAACTAAAATTATTCCATTAGAACAGATCTTATCTATTATTTTTTCTCTTCTCAAATTTCAGATCCCTTGACTACTCACATGGAAATGGTGACTGAAATTGTTGTACCAACGGTGTTCACACTCTGCATACTTATCAGTGCCATTCTATTAATGTTCCTTCTTCGGAAGCACAACTAAAACTACAAGTTTACATAACATCTTCATTTTGCATAGGCAATAAAATGCCACTCTTATTCTAACACTGTTTTAAAGGTTTCCACAGATGCCTCCTTTACGTAACACTGCAATGTTAAAAAAAAATCCAGCTTTACTTTTGTGTACATATTGTTGCTTCTACATTTTATTCAATTTCAGCCGTAATTTGAGACGTAATTTAGAAATCTTACAAAGGCAATTCACGTCTCAGTATTATTTTCTATCAAAATTCAACTGCAGGTTTTATCTTCCTTCATGTTTTGCAAAGTACACCTCTAGCCTGATAGAACGCTGTCCTCGGGAGCCAAAAAAAAAATCTTACCACGTTATAGGTGAAACCGCGTTATATCGAACTTGCTTTGACCCACCGGAGTGCGCACACCGCCCTTCCGGAGCGCTGCTTTACCGCGTTATATCTGAATTCGTGTTATATCGGGTCGCGTTATCTCGGGGTAGAGGTGTATGCATTTTCCTCATTAGGACAACAGGTGACTGAGATTAAATTGTTTCAAAGCTTGCCAATATATATTTCAAGGATAGGCAGATTGTTGGCAAGTTCTGTTTTCAACCTGTTCCATGGTAATTAAAAATACAGTGATGAAGTGCTAATTACGAAATATGAACATAGAATACTTACAGCATATCATACTTCAAAATCTTAATGGCATTGCATAAACATTAACTAGTCATCTCCATACAATAATAATTAGGTATTATTAACCCAAATTTTGCACACCGGTGGAATAAATGTGATAGACTAACTGACTTGTTCACAGACTTATGGTCAGAGCCAGAACCAGAAGTAAGGAATCCTGATGTCCAGTCCTATGCTTAGGCCACTAGACCTACCTCAGCATTAGGACCCTACCAAATTCACGTCCATTTTGGTCAATTTCATGGTCATAGGATTATAAAAATCGTAAATTTCACAGTTTCCAATATTTAAACCGAAGTTTCACAGTGCTGTAACCGTGGGGGTCCCAACCTAGAAAGGGCTTTTTGGGGGGTGGGGTGTCAAGGCTATTGTAGGGGTTCACAGTATTGCCACCATTTCTTCTGAACTGCTGCCTTCAGAGCTGGACAATTGGGAGCCCAGCTCTGAAGGCAGCGCCACTGTCAACAGCAGCGCAGAAGTGAGGGTGATATGGTATGGTATTGTCACCCATACTTCTGCGCTGCTGCTGGTGGCGGTGCTGCCTTCAGAGCTGGGCTCCCAGCCAGCACCCGCGTAGCTTCCTGGAGCCAGGGGAGGTTCCTGAAGGGAGGGCTGACCCAGCCTTGGGAGCAGCCCACGCAGGGGAAGAGGAAGTCCCCTCCTTCCCCAGCCTAGCCGGGACTAGCAGCTGTAGCCCAGCACACAGTACCCCTGGCTGGAGAACTCCCAGCCCTGCTCCTGGCCCAGCGCTCGGGGGTTAAAGGGACTTTAGGCTGGCTGTGTGTGTGGGGGGGGGAGTGACCACGGTGCCCTGGGCAGTCACCACTGTCACCCAACCATAAGGTCAGCTCCGCTACCCCCCAAAATGACAACCCCCTTCATACCATGCCACCCTCAATTCTGCGCTGCTGCTGGTGGCAATGCTGTCTTCAGAGCTGGGCATTCGGCCAGTGGCTGCTGCTCTCTGGCCACCCAGCTCTGAAGGCAGCGCTGCCCCCAGCAGCAGTGAAGTAAGTATTGTCGCAATACTACGACAATAATCAGATTTCATGATCCATTACACATTTTTCACTGTCAATTTGGTAGGGCCCTACTCATTATACATCTCTTTCTTTATTAGAGAATGTTGCACACACACAAAAATGTGATCCAAGGACTTGGACATGTGAGTTAAGATACTGTACCAAATTCAGTCCTGCTCCAGCTTAATCAAGATGCACCTGCTTATACAGAACTGAACTAGTTCCAGAGTACGGCTAGCAACCTGCCATTGCTTGGCCTGAAATGATTCCTTCAAAGCAAGACTTTATGTTCAACTTTTACCAAAATTCCAAAACATAAACTAATTTGTGGGTGTCAGATTAACTGTGCACAAAATGGATAGATTTCTTAGCTTCTATTCAAGAAGAGTGAATAAAAGTCAAATGACTTGAAAAAACCCACACATTTAAACTGTATTTTAAAATTTAACTTTAATTTAAATGTGTTTTTATTGTTAAAGACATATTAATTTATTTAAATTTGAATTTATGACAACCTATGCTAAGGCCTAAACTGACTATAATCTATTAAAATAATTTAATATAAATTTGAATATATAAAAACCTCATACACTGATTCAATGAGCCATTTTCAAACTATAAAAGCTGCTTTTTTGGTATATAAAATCAGGGCGAAAACATCTTTAACTACATTTTGGGGTCAAAATTAACAATATGGTACCATCTATATCATTTTCAGTTTTGACAAAGGAATGAATGCTGGCAGTTACTTTTTTCCAAATGTCAGTACTTACAGTTTCTGTTGTGCAGAAAAGCTTTAGCCTCAAATTACAGAACAAATGTATGTTATGCTATATAATTAGATAAATGTGCATCCTCCTAGCAAAATGTAGTACCAAATCTAATGTAAAGGCTATATTTAACTGTAAATAATCAAATCAACATGTTTTCATAGTTATATAAATGTTCTTTATGAAAATAACTCAAAAGTACAAATGAAAAAAAGTGATTAAAATCAATTATTTGCATTTGAAGGAATGCTGAATTTGGGCTAGATGAGAAGAACAACTCCAAAATATAAATATCGGACTAGAGAAAACTGAAGTTCTTTTACAAAATGTATATGGCACTGGAAGAGCATCTCTCCAAATAGGTCTTACTGATGTAACATCATGTGACACCAGCAAAGATTTTATAACGCTGTTTGCTCTTGGTCAACTACATTGTACAGTAAACAATAAAAATAAAATTAAAACAATGTAAAAAAGTAAAATATTCAGAATTTATAAACTATCAAAATTAGTTTTTAAAGCAATTACATTTTATATATTTTTTTAAAAATAACTGCATGTTACCAAGTATTTAAACAAACTGTACACATACTGTTGAATTATAGGTCTATGCAGATTCTAACTTCAATACACAACAGCAAATAACTACCAAATATAGGGCATCATTCTTCCAACCATAAAATATATTTAGATATACTTGGGGAAGCAGATATGCTGACAATATTTTCCATTTACTGTACCTTCTAAGCGTCTATCTGTACAACAGCAATCTTTTATGTAAAATGCACCTGACTGCAGTTAGCCATGGTAATAAAATACATAGTTTCTTCAGTGTTTCCATTAACTGTTGTATCACAAAGTACTTCTGCAATACAAAAGAACTAAATGTTAACATGGTATTCTTACAAATGACAGCTCATAAGAAAGTTTGACATGATGGCTTCAAGAATTTGTTATAAGCACCAAGTTCCACTGAAATTAATAGGCTCTCAAAATTATTTTGAAAGATAAGAAAATGTCCAAGATCTACTAAAACATTAATCTCTTTTGCCACTGTCAAAAGAAAGGCAAATGAACTCTACACTGTCCTATATTTGGAATTCTTCCCTAGCTTTTCAAGAGTTTTTTAAAATGTACTCCAGCCAACATGGTGAATCTGGACACCTACTCTTCATGTTAACAATACATTTACCCTCTCTCTATTGGACTGAGAAGCGGGATGCCAAAGTTTAAAGATAGTTATATTTAGAACTATGTTACAATTAATTTTAAAAGTAACTGTCAGGTTGCGGAGGGAAAATCATCACACACTGAAAATTTTGCACCTCATATAGTTACAACTAATACCTAATAATACTATAACGGAAAGGTTTACCCCCCACCTCATTTGTTTACTTCGTGTATGCAGCAACACTTTTTACATTTAGCCAGTTTCATTTTTTCCACATATAGTCAATTTCTCCCTTGCTGAAAAGATTCTTATGCATAAAAAGGAACTAAAAAATATTTAAGACACACTGTTTAAAAAGTGCTATATGAGACACTGGATCAAACAAAACAATACATCACTAGTTAATTTTAAAAAAATTCAAGCTGACAGTATCACTTTAATATTTTATACCAGAAATGGTTCCTTACCTAGGTTGTTCGAAGTCATATGTTCAACAGGAGGATTAGTACTAAGCTGCCATACTGTTTTAACCTCCTTCTGACCATGTCCACTATTTATTTCCACCCTCCATATTTGTGCATGATCACTGAGGGAATAATCAAATAGCACAAAAAACCCTAATAATTATGTACTCAATCAAGATTTGAATTTCCGTATTATGAAAGCTGAGGTTTGGCTTACTTTTGATAGAACTTATTGACAACAGCTGGTCTGATTGGTAGCTGAAACACATGCTTCTCATTCAGAGGATTTTCTTTGTAATATTTTATGCAGGACCTGTGATAAAAGCAGTCAAATACTGTTCCTTATTACTTCTTGGATAAGTGTTTATGCAACTATTCAACCCCAGATCAATATACATGCAAAACTAACTTCCTTTTACATGCTTTCATGACAATAGATCAGTTACTATGCACTTGCTTGAAACATAGATTCCAAAACTTGATTTTGGCTCTTGCTTCCCAGGACAGTAGAAAATGATCATATCACAACAGTGACTTCATAAGAGTTACTATACTTGACAAATTGCAACTGCATAATAATTTATTCCTCACAAATGTTCCCTCTAAAACCATGGTATTTTTTAGAATGGAAGGCTAATTTTTCACACTATCCAGTCACAGAAGCTCTGTACCATTGAAAATAAATATGAAATATGTTGGGATTTTGCGCTAGTTGAGAGCTAAATGGATGAAAGCCTCAAAAAATTGCAAGGTTTGGAAGCATGACTTGAAATGGATGATAAAACAAGACATGCAAGAAAGAAGCTGCAGCAACAAAAAAGCTAACGTAAAAAAAAACAAAAAACCCACTAAATGTTTGTTTTGAATATTATTCTGAAGGTATGTTCTTATGAATACCTGTTTTACATATTTCAGAATGGAGGAA